CCAACAAATTATACCACAAAAATATTATATAATTTAAAAATATTTTTATAAAATGTAATACCGTTATTCCTTCATAGTAATTACGTTAAGTCACCTTTCCTGAAAAATGTAAAATAGTTTGTTAAATCTAAACATTTTAGGGGGAAAAGCATAGACACTTAATCCGATTCAAATTTGGAAAGATTTTACATTTTAAAATCAGATAAAAGATTTTTGTTTCTTATTACATAATTATTACAATATATACACTTTTTATACTATCATGCATCCTTTCTTTCTTTCTTTCTCTTTCTTTCTTTCTTTCTTTCTTTCTTTCTTTCTTTCTTTCTTTCTTTCTTTCTTTCTTTCTTTCATATACACTCATTTTAAAAATGAGCCTCAGAAACTCGGCTTTTTGAAACATCTGTATATGTCTAAAATAATTTATTTTTTAAAAAATAATATATCCCTTAACTCTCACAAGAATTCTATATTTACACAATTTTATCATTTTATACTTATTATATTTCATTAATTTTTAAAATTAAAAAAATATACATTTACCGTTTTTTGGAAGAAACGAAATATTAGAAAAAAATAGTCGCGAGGTTATCGATATGATACGCAGCAAACATGTATAAAATGACAATGAGTATTGAAGCAAAATCGCTCCATTTTAGCCGATTTTTAGAAGCGACTAACTCAATATTTTAGTGAGAAAAATATTGCTTAAACCTCGAAATTTCGTGAATAAATGTCCAAACTTTTGTGTCATCTATGAGTAAAATTTTAAGGAGTAATATTTCTCTGAATAAAATACTGAGTGAGTTAGCAGTTTTAAAAAATCGGGTCAAATGGAGCGATTCTTCATCACTAACAATGAGGCTAACAATTAAAATATTTTTTATTAAATAATGCCTACGCGATATCTGGCAACCTTGTACACCCTAACCCTAACCTCGTGTCCAAGAGGTTGATCTTGGGATAAAAAGTTATTCCAACGATAATCGAACTCCAGTTTAAGTTTATTGTGCTTCTCTAATTAAAATCTTTAACTATATGTCCACGTTGACCATTCAAAATACCACGATTTTATTTATACATATACATAAATATTATTTGGTAAATTGAAACATTTAACAATCGGCTTGAGAAATAGAAATTTGCAATAAATTCCTAGGCCCATCAGTAGTCTTTTATCTCTAGCCATGAAATGATAAATAAATAACAAAACAACATCATAACGTAAAATGTATTAAATTTGGGAAATACAAAAACAAAACAATTATGGGTCACAGAACCTTCCCTGACTCAGAATTTGTTATTTCAAAAAAATATTTAAGTATATTCCATAATTTTTTAAAGCTTAATTAATATTATTTTATATTTCGTATTTAGAACTTTGCTCGGGGGGTTTAGCAAAATTTAAGAATTAAGATATCATTTTTATAAATAAATAAATAAAAATGACAGTTAGAAAGAAACATTAAATTCCTTAAATATCTTGACAGATGATTCGAATCATTTTTGAAAAAAAAACAATATTAAAAAACATTTTCCAGGAAATTTTTGTGAAGAGATAATGACCTACCTTACCCCCTTCCTCCTCCACCTACCCTTTAATACTCCTATTTTAGTTTGTGTCCTCCTTTAGTGATAATTTTTAATTTTATCGATTTTCAAATTAAAAAAAATAAATTTAAAGAAAAATTTTTTAAGGCTAATACCTGAAAAATAAAATAATTCTAAAAAAATACAATCAATCTTACTTTGGCTGACAAAATATATTATAACGAAAATTGTTATTATAATATGATTTTTTTAATGATTTTATAGAATATAATCAGACAGTTTCTGTAGAGTAGTTGGAAGGATTTATATAATCACAAAAACAATCCATCTTCGAACACTTTGTAAAAATATATATTCTATTATTTACAATTTGGCGGGGGGTAGGATGAGGTCAAGGTAAGTTAAAAAAATTATATTTATTATTATAAGAACAAGCATATCAAATTTCGATAAAATAAATTTATATTATTTTTTATATATTGATTTTTGAGTAATCTATCAAAATAAAAATATGATACACTTAACATTTTTACTCACTATAATAATGAAATAACAAATTGTGTGCAATTCAAATTTTTAAAAAAATTTAATTTATTTTTGATATTTTTAATAAATAAATAAGATTTTTTTTTTCAAATTTATACCAATTCACAATTTATTAGGGGGAAAAAATACTTTAATTTAAATTATAAAAATATAAAATCAAGTCACAACTTGTATTAAATATTTAAATCAAATTTTATTTAATAATTTAAAGAAGAAATTGGTAATTAAAATATAACTGCAAAATTAATTTTCATAAATTAATTCAAATGAAAATAAATTGTTAATCAAAGTTATTCTTAGTTTCCTTCCGTTCTTTATTAAATAATTAATTCATCTTTCTCATTTCATTTTCATTCTATTTATTCCTTTTTAAATTTAGAAATAAAATTAAGTGATAAACTTTTTTTAAAATAATTTTATTCATTTAAATAAATATTTTTCCCACTAATTTTTGCAAAAAAAATGTACAAGAATTGAATCTAGAACAGGCATTGCTGCTAAACAGATTTGCCTCGATTTTTAAAAAAAGCCCGATCAAGATTTTGGCCAAAATTATATTTAAGCCTTGAGATTTGGCAAATAATCCATATGCCTGCATAATTTTATTTTCACTAAAATATTAATAGGTCCATTTTTTTGAATCGGGCCGTTTAATAATACTAATAACAGGGTACTGCATCTCTATTTTTTTAAGCTAGAGGTCAACGTGGCCCGATATTTATTGTTCGCGAAAAAGTCCAGCTGAAAATCATTTTCCCTATCCACTACTTCCCACCCTACCGTGCATCTACATATAATTGATAAACACTACTTTGCCACAGTCACATGGCAAAGTGGACAAGGATATATTTCGCCATATATCATTTTATCAAGCAAGTTATGTTCCAAAAATTGAACATTTAAAATAGATTAATTAAAATTTATCCATGTTGAAATTAACTTTTTGGGAGAATTTTTAGGAAAAAAAGGTTTATTTTAAGTGGAATTAAAAAATACGAGTTTTAAATTTGATTATATTCTAATTCCAGTATATATAATATGTCTACGATATTTTTCTTAACTTAAATTTATCAAAGTTGTTCTATTCACCATATGTAGATAAATTTGAGCGGAGTTCTATGGGAAATTTCAATTGCTTTGTATCTTTTTAGCAACATAGTACCCCTTTTTAGAGATGTAAGGACTTCTTAAAATATGAAATTGGTTTACTTATTATTTTCAATGACAGCTTTAAAACTTAAAACAAGTTCTGTCTCATACTCCTTTTTAAATAGGATGACTGACGCTTTTGTAAAATTTGGGAAATAAGGAAATATAATTAGAATATGGAAATACTATGGTCCTTGACTGTCTATTTCCATTTCTTATTTCTTTTCCTATTCGTTCCTTTCTTCTTCAAACTTCTCTTTATTTCCCTTTCCCCACTATTCTTTCATTTATAAATTTATTTATTTTACTATTTTTTAAACTTTTTAAACTTTTTCTTTTCTTCAAAGAAACACTTTTGTTTCATTATGATAATTAAAAATAAAATATAAAAAGAAAGTGGGGCCTATAAGTTTCCAAGCAAAAAATATTTTAAAATAATAATTTATTTTTTGTTTTAGAATTTTTTTTTTGAGTTATGATGTAAATGGCTTTGATTTTGTCTCCTTTTTTTTTAAAAAAACTTAAAGTTCCGTTTAACATATGTCCAAGGGAAGCGATAATAATTGGTATAGAGTAGTTATTTATTTTTTTACTTCGGCAATATCAGCCGGACAAAATTTTTTAGCTGATAAATTAACAGGCTTCGGATTGTTTATATTCGGGCCCTCGTAATGACTATGGCTAATTATTAAATTAATTATCTCACGCCATCATATCTTAAATATATATACTTTTTGGAATCAATCGACATTTTACGTCTTATGTATGTGATGAACGATGTACATCCAATTCTGTAGTTTTTGGGCAACTCTTAATTGTTTATCTGATAAGTGGTTACTTAGGTTACAACTTGGTAATACTTTCAACTATTTTGTAATAATCTAGTCATGGACGTAGTAGGGGGGGGGAAGGGCAAAGGGAATTCCTTCCTATGGAAATTTTTTGTTCCGGCATCACAATTATAATTTTAAGCTAATAAAATCCACCACCCACCTCTCTTTCAAAAAGGTATATAATATATTTATAAACACTCACTTGAAAAAAAAATAAACAAAAGTTAATAATTATTTAAAATAATGACTACAATTCAAAATCTTTAGAAAATTAAAGTATTATTTAAAAAATTTGACATAACCAAGGGCCTACAATAGATAATCTTAAATATCTCAAAAATAATTTATTGAAAAAATCCCAATCTACCCATGCCACCTCCTAGTTAAATTTTGGATACGCCTATGATTTAAATATAATCTAAAAGAGGATTCGATGAGGATATTTTAAGAAAATTTTTAATTTAAGATTTAAAAATTGATCGGTATTTTAAGACCATGGGTACAACATCTTCTAACGACAAAGATTTCCAAGCGGTCAAGGCAAAATATAAAAGGCTATCTCTAGGAGTGAAAAGGATATCATTGCGGAGTTCATCAAACATAATGCAAGCCAAATAAGTTTTAATGGAATTTACTCTTTCTTTATTTTCTCTTCTCCCATTTAATCTTATATTATCGATAATTTTTAACAATGTCTTAATAAATAAAAGAAAAAAGAAAATAATAAAAATTAAACTATTTTAAAAAAATATATTTCTTTTTTAAAATTTTTTTTTTTAAAATTTTTAAAAAAATATATAAAAAATAAAAAATGTTTCAAAAAATTAGAAAATATAAGGGAAAAAAATAAGGAAATTTGTTTTCATATAAAAAAAATAGTGATCTATTTTATTTATTTAAAAGATATTAAATATTATTATAAAATTATATATCAACATTTTAAAAATATAAATGTTTATAAGTTGAATCATATTTATACTTATCTATACAAAAGTTTTGGAAATAAATTCTGACTCCGGAATTAACAGGTAAAAAAAATTAAAGTTAAAGTCAAAATCAAAATCAATTTTTTTAAGAGAATAAATTTTATTTTATTTTATCGATTTATATTTTAAATCAATTTTTCAAATTTGATCGTTAAAAGGTGGGGAAAAAAGAAAGGAAAGTAAGAGATTAAATTTTATAGTATTAATAATAAATTTTGCCTGAAGAATTGGACTTGATATTTTATCTTAACAATTTATCTAAATTATATTATTTTGCTTGATAGGAATGAATTAAACAACGTTCACCAAATTTTATTTGTAGGGAGAACTTTAATGCGACGGTTTAACAGATCTTACAATCACCTATTATTTTATAATGCACTTTCTCCTATTTGTAGTAATCTGATATAATTGATAATATATCAAAATTTTTAAAAAATAATGATCATGAGGAGAAATGTTTAATTCAAAACAATTTATCTGAATTGGCGTGCACATCTACTAAGCATAAGCGGAAGATGATTTAATTGTGAATTCTTTGGAGATATATTTTCGTTGAAACCCGAGTTTGAGGTCATTTTAATTAAAAATAGATTTCGTCTTTTTTTTAAACCAAACAAATTGTTCAACTTTAATTTTAAATAGGATTATTATTTTGGTTATTTAGTTATAATAATATTTTTTTTTAAATTTAAAATGTGAACTTTTATAGAATCTTTTAAATTAAACTTTTGTGTCATCTATGAGTAATTGCGTAATATTTTTCTGGATAAAATATTGAGTTAGTTGTTTTTAAAAATCTGCTCAAATTGAGCCGTTTAACATCACTAATAACTGGAAGAAATATATAAATATAACTTTAATCTTAAATATTAATTTAAATATTGATTTGAAAATTATAATAGATACAGAATACATTAACGGTATTTTATGTAAAGAATTCTTTCTTTCTCTCTCTAAGTTATGGAAAGAATGAGAAGATCGAATCTTCAAAAATCTGAAGAATTAATACCTGATAGATTTGTATGTATTCACTTTATAAAACAACCTCTAGTGACTTCGTAGCTTTTTCAACTTGGGAGCTCTATAACTTTGGAATCCAATTTTAATATTTAAAAAGAATTTGATCCTAAAATAAAATTTTAGATTTTCTTTTATTTTGAATTAAATTTTTTTTTAGTTTTTTTAAAAAAAATAAATAGTATAATACAACATCTTATTGTAAATAAATTGTCTGCTCATCCGAGGAAAACATTTTCAAAGAAAAAATTGGTTTGCGAAAAGAAAGCTATAATGATCTTGTTAAGAAAATTAAAATGTAAGCATGCATGCCAGCCATATTGCAATATGGAATTCATGGAGGTACGGAATCTCTCAATTTCTTACTGAGGGTAAAATTTGAGAAATCATATTTGACCAGAAGTGGATTTAAGCATTTATGGAGTAATCCTACTGCGATTTTCAGACACTTTTTTCTAATTTTAAATTATTTTAAATTTTAAATGATCTTTTATATAAATTTTTTTCTTATTAAATTAAAAAAATGGTCAAAAAGTTAATATGGAAATTGTCTGAAGGATATGTAATCTACGCGTGTTAGAATAAATTATAAATTGAAAATCGTCCTCGGTAAATAAATTATTTAAAATTATTCCGAAATTCCCATAGATTCCATTATCCCAATCTTATCTTATCTAGCACGTTGGTCATGGACCTGCCCAAAATGAGCAAGCGTGATTTATTATAGAGGCCCTATCTTCCATAATAATTATACCGATTTTTTTCCTCAAGGATACCAATAAACGTTGTAACCCAGATATAATTATTAAGTGTAACTCACCCAATCCAATAATAATATTAGCATAAGGAATAGTTATGAGCATTTTTGAGAAAGCGAGAACTGAAAAAAAGAGGTATTGTATCATCCAATACAAATCATTAGTTTTTTTAATATTATAAAAATTATTTTATTATTGTTGATCCTTGAGTAAGGATCTTATTTAATAGGATTATTTTATTTCATTTAGTTAATTTATGATTTGTTACCAATTAATTAGTTAGAAGATATAAAAATTATATTTTGGTTTTTATAATTATTTAGTTAAATATACCTATTTAACCTATTTGTACCTCGATTCTCATTGTGTAATGATTAACCTATTTATAATTTTCTTACAACTTGAAATACTTTAATCCGTCTTTATTTACTATAACCCTAATCAATTAAATTCTACTCTTAGATATAGATCAAAACAATATATGAAATTGTATTTTTAAATAATATAATAAATTTAACTTACTCTTCTTGACTTGTTTATTTAGAATAAATGACTTCCTTTACACTTCCTTTCCACACAATAGCCTTTCAGGTATATTCTCAGTTCGTCAAGTGTTCATAGATAAGTCTTAGTACAATTTTGTAAGTTTTCCTATCAGAAGAAGCACGTTGTATGAATTCCCAAGATAAACCTATTTCCGATAATGATCAATTTAATCTCCCAAACCAACTATTTTTATAGGATAGGAAAGGTTTGAGCGATGACTCATCCAAAGGAAAGAGCTTGATAAACTAGATTGTTTGGGGCTTGTCTGAGAATATGCCCTAATACTTCGATCTTTCTATATTCACCCAGTCTATATATAGGGAGGGTGTCGCATCTGGACCAAAGATTATAGTTGGTAGTATTATAAGAATAAAATGTTTTGGTTATATACCTAAGACATTTGTTAAAGAAAGTTTGCATCTTTTTACTTTCTTGTTTAGTATCTTTCCAGATTTCTATACCATAAAATAGAGAGGGAAATATTAGATTTTAAATAATCGAATCTTTAAAGGAATTGATATTTGATTAGAACTCCATATTTTCATTAAAGATCTATATTTCATTCTGCCTTTATTTAATTTGGCTATTAAGTCTAGTTTAGTATTTCCTTTTTTATCCAGTATCACTCCTAGATATTTCAATTGTTGAACTTCTACTATTTTTCTCCCTTGTATCGTTAGATTCATATTTGAAGGGGAGTATAATGATGTCATTAACTTAGTTTTATCAACATTTATTTTTAAACCAAAAAAACCAGCAGCTTGGATAGAAAATTTTTGACATTTTGTCTCTTGCGCAACGATATTTATTTTTTATTATTTAAAAATAATTATTAATATTATTATAATTTATAATTTATACAAATAGTTTAAAATGATTATTTATTTTGGACAACTATATACAAAAATAATTCATATTTTTAAAATATTATAGGGTGGTATAAGAACAAATCGGATGATTTAAATATTGACGCAAAATTTGTGGTGTGAATTTCTTTTTACATTAATCTCATGATTAATTGTTAAACGAGAATTTATTGTAATTATCAAAATAATGGACAATACCGTTTACACAATTTCCCCTTACCATCAACCTTCTTTACCTAACTTCTCCCATTACCCTCCATGGTTACACATGCATCACGAAAATAAATCTGCATCTAATGATCTTATACAACTTTTCCCTCTATTTCCTGTTAGGGATGTAAGAAACAGCATGATTTCTAACGATAAGAATCTTACGACATTCGAAAATTATATTGACCTTCAATCAAGTATAAGGCATAAAGATCATCCATTCGCTAATCTCAAGGACCTTGAATTTAGGGATAATATCTACAATAATTGGGCATACAAATATATAGATGTGCGAAGATTCAGGAGAAATAATAAATCTATTAGATCTAAGCGCTCTAACCCGACAAATGAGAGTCAGGCAAAAGAAGGGGCAAGAATTTGGTGGATAGCATTGTATTCATTGGTCATTGTAATAGTCACAGCTGCCAACATCATCAACATAACTGTCATAACTAGCTGTAGCAAATTGAGAAATTCCACCAATTTTTACGTGCTTTCCTTATCTTGCGCATATTTATTAACAGGTTCAGATTTAAATTATTTTCATATTTCTTTTTTTTTTTTAAATTATGAAATAATTTGCAGAGGCATTAAATAAACCCCTAAGTTTTTTTGTCCAATATTCAGTGGTTCCTGCTATTGCGATCAATTTAGACAAGTTTAAAAAAATTAAACTAACCAAATTATCATAAAATATATGAGAAATTTATGTAAATTGGAGATTTTGCCAAATTAATAATTTTATTTTTTTGGAAGAAAAAAATTAAAATATTCTTCTTATAAAAGAACTCACTCTAAAAGACAGTTTAATACCGAAAAAACTGTCAACATAAAAGACTGTAAATAATAAAAGGAAAAAAGTTTGTTATTATAACAGGAAGTAATAATGTGTTTTATTATATGTAATGTAGTAAATAAAATTAAAATTTTTTTTTTTGAAAATTATAATAATAAAAATTATTTGATAAAAAAAGGTGCATATATTTATTTACTTTATCATAGACATGTAGAAGTAAAAATTTTAGACCCTGCCTGGATTTTTAAAAAATTTAATTTTCAAGCCGGGCCCAGATTTCTATAATTTTTTATCATTTGTTATTTCAAATAATTTTATAAACGCTCAATTACAAGATTCTCCAACTGTTATACAATATAAGGTTATTTTTGTCTTTCGATCGTTCTTTATTTTTTTTAATAACAATAAGATGCCTTACCTATTTGCCTGATATAAATTAGCCTATCTGGGAAAAAAATCCTGATTATAAACAAGGCAACCAATCCTATTAATTTGTAAGTTCTAAAAACAATATCTATTTTATTTTTATTAAATTAAAAATATTAACAAGATATAGGATTTAAATTTTTTTTTTTCATATCAAAATTATACATTTTTAAAATTTAATGAAATGTATATACTCAGGATTCTTAACAAAAAAATATGTTCTGTTCCATGTTTCGAAACAAGTTGCCAAAAAATATCAAATTACCTTATTATATATTCGGCCATTTTTACTATATCTAGTTATCTAAAAAATTTTATCATTTCTATAAAGCGATGGTATGGTGTTAATAATAATTTGAGTGTTGGAAAACTTTTCTCATCACATATAATTTATGGTATAAAAATTAAATTTTTTATTATTTTTCGGAACATTATAGTACTGTTCCCAGAAACATTCCCGGGACACTGTTCTCGTTCCTTTCACGTTCCATAATATATTTTTTCCTTCATTTTATTAGTTATAATAATTATAAAATTTTTTTTTTTAATGATTCTAATTATATTTATTATTCTCTAAATTTTACTTAAAAAGCGTACTAATAAATTTTTTTTAAAAATTTTATAAAATTTTAGTATAAATAAATTAGAAAGATAATTATAGTGATCACACATGTCATATGCTTTGTATCATATTTTTTAAATGTATTTCACATCAATTTATAATTTGAATTTAAATCCTAACAACGAGAGGAGGGAAGTTTTATTTTGGTGATAAAGAGTAAAAGGAATAAAAAAGGAAGATACTTGAATTAAACAAGCCCGAAGCAAGTGAATATTTTTTTAAAAATATATACGTATTGAAAATCTGACAGAAATTCTGGAATTTTTTTTTAAATATTTTTTTTATCGAATTAAACATTGGTAAATGTATTATATTATTAATAAGTTTATTCATCCATATAATCTTTCTTTTAATAGCAGGTAATTCAATTAACTTTGTTAATCATTCAAGTGCATAAATTAAATCAAATACATGTTAGCTGCTACTGAGAGTGATATATTTTATTATATTATTGATTAAGCACAGGTAACAATCAAATAAATTAATTATAATAAATTAATATATGTGAGAAACTAAACTGCACGCATTTCTAAATCACGGCATTTTATACCTTATCCTTAATTCGATTATTTCATTTTAAATTTAGTTCATTAATAATACTAAATAATTAATATTTATAGGTGCATATAAATAAGAGTTATATAATAATTAATATAGGTATACATATAAATAAGAGTTATATAATAATTATTAAATTTATTCAATAGATTAATTTTACCTAATCCCGGAATTCAGCCTTAGCTCAGGTGCTAATGCAATAAGCCGTTCTACCAGCCCATGCATTCATATCTTATAAGATTATTTATAATATACCCTTTTTACAAATATATTATTAAAGTTATGCTATTTAACAAATCTCAGGGACTCAAATAAAATTTAAATTATTTACAAAAATACCTTCTTTTTTATCTAAAATTACCTTTTCATTCTCTTTCTTTTTTTTAGTGGTATAATAAAAAATTCAAAATTTTGAGGGCTCTTTTCAAATTTTTAAGTGGGCTCAAGTCCCTGCGCCCTCTTGTGATATTACATATTTAATTAATCTAAGTCACTTTAAAAAGTGCTGATCCACAATTTAATCAACTATTTGTAAATCGGTAAGTTAAGGTAGAAAAATTTTACATATTTATATAAAAAAGAATAAACTTTAAGGCGTCCATGTTGTAGCTAGTACTTTTATTTTATTAACAAAATTTCAATAAAATATTGAGATTTCGATTTCTGATTTGTCTGACTATCAATTTATAATCTAATATAACCTTTCCTAAAGATAGCTTTAATTTCTCATAACAATTAATTATTGAAATTTAATAAAAAACATGAAATATTTAGATATAAAATAAATAATGCAGGCAATGTGCGTAATCAGGTAATATGAGTAATAATAATCTTATAAAATTTTCTGAAATTTATAGGAATACATTCCGCAGATTTTTACATTTAAAAAACGCTAACAAATGATTTAAGGTTGGAAAGAAATGATTCGTTGAACGCGTTTTTATATTTGAAGATTAAATTTGGCCGAAAATATCCCAGTACATCCTATAAATTTAAGATAATCCGGGATCAGACAATACATCTGATTCTGCATATTGTCCGTAACATAATATAGAAACTATGCATAACCGATTCATATATTTTTCTAGCAGAATTATCGTAACATTAAAATGTGAAGCGTGATAATAAAAACAACCCCCACATAAATTTAAGTTTGAATAACATCAATTATTTTAATTAAAATAGAATTCATTGTTAAAGTCAAGTAAATTTCTGATATTATTTTATAGTGTATCTGTTAAATATAGTATATCTATAAATCTGCCTTTATTTTCGTAACTTCTCTTCATGATTCTCCGCATTTTTCTGACTCTAATGCTGAAACTTAATAAAGATCATTCTAATACCTTTATTTAATTATCTGACAACCAATTTTGTGCATTTTGATGAATGACATAAGGTTCCTCTTGAATCATGGCCATTCGAAAAATAACTTCGTTTATTTTACTATTTCTTTAAGATTGCACAGCACCCTGTACCTTCCCTGTCATGTGACCCCAGAAATTTTGAGAAAACTAGTTCATTTGAGATAATTTGAAGTTCTTTAAAAAAAATTTACTATTATTTTAACGAGAGTAGGATTATATCTATTCCTCATCTTATTTCTTGATTTTCCTCATAACTGTCATTAACAATGTGTAACTGTTCTATCAATATAGTAGTGATTTCTCTTCTTTTTAAGCATCAATACCTAAACTAAATCTCCGCCTTTCAAATTTCCACAAGTTATTTAAAAACTAGAGGAATGAAATAAAAAATTAGGATAGAAAATTCGTTTTTTAAAATATTATTGATAAGAATAATAAATAAGAAATATTTTTTTTTAAAACAATTAAACTAGATTTGCTATAAGATGCTAATCATTTGGTCGTTTTTTTTATTTTAATGAATCAGGCCCCACTTCTTAACCTTGATTTAATTCGGAAATGACTGAGGGGAAATGAATATTTAAAAGTTTTTTATATATACGTAAAAGATTGTACCATAATGTGATAAACGCTCATTTAAAAAAAAAAATTATACCGCCTTCTTAATATATTTTCAATTTTATAAGTAATTGATGCACGAAAAAATTGACCACAGGAAGCCCACCCAGAAAGTGTGGATAGGCAATCCAGTGCAACCGAAATTTCGTAAATTTTTTAATTCTTTTCCTTCACAAAAATATTTTTTATTACGATTTGTACAAACCCTGTTTTTTATGAGATTCGGCATGCGTTTGCTCAGTCATCTGCAGAGGCAAAGTTTTTATAAATATTAAATGATTATAAGTTATTTTTATACTTATATTTGGTGATTTCCATATCACATCAACCAAAAAAAGTCAATTTTCAACCCGCCTTCTCAAAATTTTAATTTTATATATTGGTATTATATATCTATAACTAAGAAAAAAATAAAATTTTCCTTCCTTGCAATCCTTATTTGCTAAGATTTGGATTTTCATTTTTATGATAGAAGAATAATCTAAATATTAAAAAGTGAAAATATTTCTACATAAAATATACCTTTACTTTTTTAAAAAACCGTTAATTTGAAAGATTGTTCTTTTTTTAACACGATATAACTATAATATTTTAGAAGAAAATGTTTAATTGGATGATATAAATTAGATATTTTTTTGTTTATTCAACTGTTATAAATATTTATCCAACTATTTACAGGACAATTTTTTTTAAAAATATACATTAGAATTATGATTTTCTAAAAATTGCTAGATTTGAGAATAATTTAATAATTTTGATAGATATGTTAATATTTTTTTTATTCATTTTTAAATAATGTGGCTCCCGGATTATAATAAGGTTCTAACCTTTGTGATCAATTTTACAGGAGAATGATTTTAAAAATTACTTTACCCTTTTGGCTAAACCTTATTATAAGATCTTTGTGAAAAGGCTAAAGTGGGATTTTAGAAAATTGGAAAAAAAACTTTTTATTTTTTGATGTTTATAAGAATGGAAAAGATTGTTTTAGGCAGTTGTAAAAAGATTTATTTTTAAATTTGAGATTTAACTTTAAAAAATTTTTTTACATGACAAAAAATTTACAATTATTATTTATGTAGTTTTATTAAATAAATTTAATCATTTAAATATTTTTAAACCTACTTATTTTGATAC